TAATCTTCAACAGTTTTATTCGTCCCCATTTAGAGCATGGAATATAATATTTCCTCCATCACCCAAAAGGATAAGGATACTCTGAATGTATCCAACGTCGAGCTACGAAATCAGTTTAGGGACTCAAATTCAAGCCTTATGAAAAGCACCTCCAGTCACTTAACCTTTACCCGTTACAGTACAGGCGTCTTAGAGGTGATCTTCTTATGACTTAAAGTATCCTTAACACTTCTGGTCAACCCCTTAAACACTTACTTAAGCTTAGTCACAATACTAACTTAAGGGGTAACACCCAGAAACTGGAGACCCAACATAGGAGAACGGACTGTAGACACAACTTCTACTTCTTCAGAGTTTTAAAATTCTGGAATTCGCTGCCGACCGAGCTAGTCCAAGAGACTTCCCAGGAGTCCTTTAAGATAAAACTTGGCATATTCTTAAGATCTAAGGATAATATCTTAAAATAATTTACCAATTTCTTTTTCCTCTTCTATCGTTGATATACCTAGGTTCCTGTCTGGACGTATTGGTGATCCACTGCTAATAGACACAGAAGCTCGTTAAGCTATTCCATCCACAACCATTTGAACCATTTAATGTGGCGGCTAGATTTTCGCGCAAAAATCATATACACAGGTACATTATGTGGCTTCATAGCATTTTGACATTATAACTGATGGCAGCTTGTGATGAAAGCTCTTACTGTAATCTCAGAACACCTACTCTTCACTATTTCTTCTCATCTTATCCCCTCAAACTACTGCATAACCTCACTATTACCTAGTAAATTGTCAAGGTTTTCAAGGCCACTTTAGTGTCGCTTAACGGTCATCCGTTAGTCTGGTCAATAAATTCATGTTCCTTTGTCAGTGTTCGGCTATTTGGGAGTCAGGGTGTAAACATCAAAACGTTAGGTTCAGGGTTTCAGAGTAAGAAAACCCACAGCTCAGGTTAAGTGCCTTACTCATACCAAAACAACCAATAAAGAGAAAATAAAGACGAACAAAGGGGAAATAATGTGGAAATGCGCCAAAATGTCTGCTTTTTCGCCTGTCCGGGGGAAAGAAGGCGGAATTTCCCCGTTATGTCGCTCTGTGTTTCAAATGTCGCTAAATTGTCTGTTTTTCGCTTAAGTATCCGCTGAATTGTCTACTTTTCCCCTAAATATACGCCGAATGGTCTATTTTTCGCCGATATATACACCGATGTAATTTTGCACCCACTCTTAAAACGCCTTTGTCATTACCCCAGACATCTGTGTTCGCCTTCATTCCCACAACATAACACACGAAAAGTGTAATGTACGTAAAATATAGTCTTTGTTCAAAAATGTTTATTGAAAACAAAAAGCGTATTGTTGTACAACGTTTGAGTAGTTGACAGATGCTAGAGGATCAGCCGTTATAATTTAATTGCAATTGTCAGGTGTCCGTGTCTGTAAAGAGCTACAAGAAAAGAACAGGTGATGTTTTATAAATAAGGTAAATGTGCTTAATTGCAAATGCATTTAAAATCAAACAGGCTTCCTCGAGTAAAAAAAGTAAGCACATTAAAAATATATTTATTGAAGACGAAGTTTATCAGGAAAAGCATCCCACGGATCATTTCTTGTCATAACGCCTGTTCGACTACTGAAAATGAAAAAAATCTTGTGAATTCTAGAATTAGAAAAAATACATTACTACATCTGAATAACTTGTTTTTGCGCAACTAGCTACTTGAAGCTGAACTTACGGTTATGTTCGTTAACACTGAAGACTGCCTATAGATAAATCGATAGTAGTAATCACTTTAAAGTCGTACGTACGTGTTCTTTTTTCCTTCGATAACGCTTTTGTACCTTGTCTCTCATGTGAAAATAACCTTGCGTAGCGATATCATACAGTTTCGTCAGGTCTTTTTTGTTGACAGATGATGACAGGAATCGATTAGTTAATACACCTGAAGTTTGAAAACCTTATATATCTTACTTCGTAGGCAGCCTTAAAACCTGCACTTATGAAGTGCAAATTAGCGTGAAATTACTGGCAATTTCAAATGTCATAATGTACGACGAAATATATCGAATTGACGTTTTAGGATCATCATCCACTAAACACGTCAACATGGCCATCTGTAATAAGAAAAAACTTACTGTTACTGTAGTTTGCTTAACGTATATTCATCATTTAGGAAAGTCATCTTCCCATCAAGCCGTCTACCAACTACATCACACCTGTCTCAACCTGCCTTTCCGTTGTGATTAACCGTGTATCTAACATCCGAACGAGCAGGTGCATCACATATTACAGCAGATAACTTAATAGCTACGTATTTATTAAACTTAATACTAGGAAGAGCAATGTCAGTCATTTCTTTTATTTCAGAAATAGTTTTCTCAGTGATCTCGTTGAATTCTGCCGGCTTAGTATTCCCTCCATAGATCCCTATCATGAACATATCACTAAATCTAGGGGCAACGATCCGCCCTAGTACAGGCCATAAATGTTGACTGGAGCTCTTTGAGATAGAAAGCACATCTATATTAATATACAATTCTAAAGTGACAATCACATTTACACAACCAAAGTTCAACATAGCAGATTGGTCTTCAATCCGAGATGGTAGTAAACCCCACTGCTGATGAACTTTGGTTGTTCACTTGTGCACGTCCTCAGGAGACTTCTGATGCTGGTTGGTAAGTCTGGAAGAACTCGAAAATCGTTCAGAATCCGATCAAAATCTCGGATACACAGAGGTATACCTCAATAGCAAAACAAGAACACCGAATTCATAGAAATAGTTAATTTCGTGGTGGTAATATATAAAATAAAGATTGTATATAAGGATATAGTACAGGAGGAAAGACAGATATGAAGCAATTTTAGTCTCATGGTTTAAGGGAAGACAAAGAGTGTTTACACCTACGTCACTGTGATCGATTCTGAGCTGTCACACTGAGTCTCCAACCATTCGTTACGATAGTCGTACGGACCCCAACCCAGTAGTCTGCATCTACCATCATGACTCAGACTAGAAGTCAGTGACGTTGTGGACTGATGCCACGTTTTGGTTTGACCGCCCCTAACTCTCTTCCAACCATCCCCAATACTAGTCAGTATTCCGCATCGTAGTAATCCATGGTTCAGGCATGCATAACACGTGGCCCGAACATCTCGGTCGGTGAAGATTCACAAGTTCATTAACTGATTTACCATTATTCCCCAATACCATGAGTCTAACCTCACTAATACTTACCCGGTGATCCCAGCAGATACGAGCAATATTTTTAAGACATCCGTGATCAAATACTAGAGACTTACGAGTATCCTCTAATCTTAATGGACACGTTTCGTAAGTTGGCAAAAGCCAAACGAGCTTTTTCAATCTGTGCGAAGATTCTGTCAGACACCAACCTATTAGGGTTGATCGGACTTCCAAGATAAGTGAAGTTGTCTACGTGTTCGACTAGTTCACTCCCTATCTTTAGTTCAGGTGTTGACGCAGGCCAGTTCTGGAGTAACAATTTACATTTAGAGGGGGAGGAACGCATTCCAAATATCCTGGCTTTGTTGCTCAGTTCTACTAAAACACCCGGAATTTTATCAGTCTTCACCAAACAGGATTGTGTCGTCTGTGTATTCTAGGTCAATAAAGTGGACCTCATGTTACTTGTACATTTGATACACTTAGGTAATAACCATGTCAACAGTGTGGAGATAAAACGAACATAGCGAAATGTGTTCTGTTTCTTGCAGTCTTAAAGGGTGTTGATTATGAAATAGAAATGCAATAGCACTCTATGTTTTGTCCCTTAGAACTGAGGATACTGAATATATGAACAATTAGTTTCATAAGATGCACATATCATCGAAGAATAAGACAGTTTGAATGTCCGTTCCAAAGTTGTTAGTGTGTAATATATGCGCATACTTATCTTCTGAGTGTAGTATGTTATTGTTCGAAAAATAAAATCAAGTAGAATTTACTGGGAATACTTTTTTACCTTGAGTAGACAAATCAGAAAATGGATCAAATAGTAGCTTGACCTTATTTAAAGCTTTGACAACGAAACATACCTTCGGTTATTTAGTTTACAATAGAGTAGTGATCTCTCAAATTAATGAAACAAATAAATTTGGGTCCAAGTATTTAATTCAGAGTTGCTGCTACCTTGACGTGGTGGTCGGGCTTGCCTATCGTGATGAAGCAATCGAGCTATGCTGGCTGGAACAATCGTTCCTCAAGGTCCTACCATGCCAGACAGGTCGGTTGAAGAGCGGTGAAACTAAAAGCAGCAAACCCAAGGTCCGAAGGCGAAGTCGTACTGTCGACTGTACAGAGGTGTGACGGCAGTAAGGTGTTTCCTTCAGACAACCAGCATGACAGCGATGCTGCCTTCCCACAAGGAGGGGTGGGGTTAGAAAAGGTCGGCCCTAAAAATGCACACCTCGCCTTATCCCACGGATTTCCGTCTCCGGCGGTAAGGTTTTTTTTGAAGAACAGAGCTAACACAAAAACTACCCACAAAAAGGTCGTGTGTGACCGACCTCAAGCAGTTGTCCCTTGGGCACCGCGGTCACGCTCTCAGGTCATTAAGACCACTTCTAACCCAATTTCCTTTTCAGGTACCCCCAGGAGAACCCTTCCACGGTGTGGGCAACCGGGAAGTGATAACTGCCCTCATACCTCTAACAGCACTCAAGACTGACTACAGTAATAAATGTCACCTCGACTAACCGTTAACAAAAATAGCTCTGCCTGCTAATCACATATTTTTCTGTTATTGTTGGCGGTGTTTTTTTAAACTGGTTTGTGCATTATTTGTTAAAAGAAATTACCACAGTACGTAATTGCTGTTTTAATTCTTTACTACAGTACCTAAATTTTCATTTTCTTTCCATATATATTCAGTGTCTGTCACGATTTATGATGGTAACAATGATATCTAGTTAGTTCAATTATTTTGCTCGTCTGTTCTGTCGAAATACGTGTTATTGTCTCTGTGGACGGATTCTATAATGTATAGAAAGGCTGGGATTGCATCAATTAAAAGCAAATCGCTTGCTCAATCGAAGTACAAAGAAAAAAGTGATGAGTTAGCAGGAAATCAGATAGCAACACTATTACGACAGTTTGAACAAGTTCGTCAGTCGCTTGAATTATTTGCTAGCAAACACGGGAACAAGATTAAAGAGGACCCACAGTTACGTTCACAATTTCAAGCAATGTGTAGTAGTATTGGTGTTGACCCTATAGCCTACAGTCGTGGGTGTTGGTCAGAAACATTAGGTCTGGGAGAATTTTACTACCATCTAGGTGTGAAAATTATTGAGGTGAGTTAATAAATTATGAAAGTTTTCACCTAATTGCCGACCTTAAAATTAATAATAATCAAAATATTCTCTACCACCCAATATCCGATTTTGTTTTATTTCTGATTTGACAATATCGAGATTACATTTTCTTACTAAAATAGTGTCTTCATTATTACCATAATTCAAGGGAAAATTGAGCCTTTAAGATCCCACCAGGGATCAATGAATTTGTTCCAATAAATTGGGTGTAGTTATGTATAAAATAGTTTCTTCGTCTTCTAGTACTATGGACTGATGTTACTATTCATATCAGTCATCAGTTTGCCTAAGTTCCAAGCATCGAACAATTTATCATTATTCTTATGGTTTCTCAGATTCAAAATTTTATCATTTTCGATGTCTCACGTACATCCACAATAGATCTTCATGTCCATAGATATTAGGGATACGTTATACAGTTAACAGTTCGTATTTGTTGCTACAAAGGTGGAGAGTTTATCGTCTATTTTTTTATCTGAACACAAACATTGTTGCAAGGGGGCACCAAAATATATATGCCCCACACCATAAAAACGGGTTTGTAAAGAGATAAAGAAAGGAAAGAGAGTGTGATAAAAAAGAACAACAATAAAAAGAAATCAGTTTGTGAGAGTGAAATAATAATAATGGACGAAGCAGTTCAGTTCAGAAAAATACGAGCAGAATGGATTCTTTCAACCATAGAAGTTCCTTTCACTTATATGAAGAAAGTGAAAGGTTACAGCAAAATCACACTGATTTCTGATAACGTCTCAAGACAGTGTTTTGCACCATCTCTGTGATCTCAACCAGCGAGTTGTGAAGGTCCAATAGAAATCAGTCCTGTACAGCTTTTGTCCGTACCACGACATCATGTCATACACTGACCACTTCACTTTCTGTAACCAATCTCAACGTCGGAAAATAATGCACGATTTCGAATTCGCTGGGACAACACTTGTAGTACATATTCAAGCCATCAAAACTGGTGTGCAAAATGGCGATACTGAATGAATAGTTGTCACTGGGCCCTATCACACGTTGCTGAACTCTCCTCATTATTGATATGGTGTTGTCACTGGATGTCAGAAATCATTATTATTATTATTATTATTATTATTATTATTATTATTATTATTATTATTATTATTATTATTATTATTATTATTAATGGCTTTATTCTATATTATAATCTGGTACAATATAGAATTCTCAGCACGAGTTATTTCAACAAGTTTTTTCCCAAAAAATAAAACCAAAAAAAGAACAACAACAAAAAACAGAAATAAAATATAAAAAAGGTTTAAGAAAATCTGAGTTTATACAAATTATCGAATATGAGACATGCTTAAGAAGACAGGTTATTTACTAGGTCAACTCTAACAGCCTGTTCGTCACAAAGTAAATTAGCTAAGTAAGGTATTACAGAACTTTTATAGATTTGCTTGCGTGCATGAATTTTAATGTATTTACGTCTCGTTCTACCAGAAGATATACAAGGAGAAAGATATGAATAAAGGGGATGGTTAGTATCTGATAAGATAACACATGCCAAGAGTTTGCAAGACTTAAGATGTCTATCCACAAGCATATTAACAATGACTTCAAAAGATTCACCACATACCTTGCAAACTGCCTTCAGCACTCTACGCAAAATAGCAAAGTCTTTTCTCAAAAGCCCAGGAAAGAATAATGGAGAACAATATAAAATAATAGGTAATATGCAGGAATTTACAAAGTGTAAGAGTAAATGGCGAGTAATCCCAAAAGCATGCAGCCTCTTTATGTAGTATGTCAAACGGTAAACTTTTTTCGATAACAGCAAAACATGAGAAGACCAAGAAAGATCAGAGGAAAAAATAACACCAAGATATTTGACCTTCGACACTGTGTTTATTCAGGAGTCTCCAATGGCACAAGCATTATGGGATCCCAACATAGAGTATAGGTTCTTTCCATGTCTCAAGCTAAAATTAACAGCTTGACATTTAGATGGATTGAGTAAGAGACCATTACCAACAGACCACCTTTCAATACGAGATAAAAACTCATTCATTTCTATAGGATGTAAGGAGGTAGAAATTGGCATACATACGGTGAGGTCGTCCGCATATTTTACAAAAGTGTTTTCTGTGGAAGATGGCAGATAATGCAGAAAAAAAGAGAAGAGCAAAGGTGAAAGAACAGCTCCTTGTGGCACACCTACATTAGACAGTAGAGATGTTGAACGCTTTCCTTCAAATACAATGTACTGTTCTCTTCGAGAAAGGTAGGAACATAGCCAATTGGTTATCCAGCTGTCAGTGTCGACGCTGATCAGCTTGTTAAGTAAGAGGTGTCTTGGAATAGAATCAAAAGCAGAAGTAAAGTCCAGGAAAGCGCATCTAACATACTTCTTACCCTTTTCCAACCCGAACACTATATTGTGATGCAGAACAGCAACGACATCTAATGTGCTTCTTTTGCATTTGTAAGCAAGCTGATATGGATCACAGTGCTCTTTTATTACAGGTTGAAGTGGTTGTATCAGTAATTTTTCCATTATTTTGAAAGGTGAGGTTATTGCTATGGGTCTAAGTTTCACATTTTTATCACCAGAAGCCTTCTTAGGTATAGGGATTACCTTTATCTTTCTCCACATTTTCGGTAAGACATTAGTTGAGAAGGATCTGTTGAAGATATTCATTAATGGATAACATAAAACATCGGCACATTTTTTAAAAAGGAGGTTTGGGATACCATCAGGTCCTAAACATTGGGATGAATTCAGAGACTGGAGACATTTCCGGACATCATTTTCAGTGAAACTGGGGACACAATTATTCTTCAAACCCTTGGATATAGGGAGCATGATGTCAGATGACTGATGAATAAAGGACTTATTTAAGTCACAAACATTTAGCTGGTTATCGCTTCTAGTCTGCCTGTCCCCTGTAATTTCTTTAAAGAGTTTCCACATACTTGGAGAGCTTCTGCAAGATAGGAGTTTTTGAGTGAACACACAGTTGAGACGTCTAATCTCTTGGTTTATTTGATCATTTAACTTACGAACTTCAATAGTGTTTTTCTCCTTGTACATCCTTTCTTTTGCCCTCCGTAGTCGTTTTAGTTGTGGAGATGTAAGTCGATCAAAACTTAAAAAGAAGGTTTCGGTAGGACAGCAAATATCAAAACAGAATTTAAGATAGGAGGTGATAACATCCGTTGTGTTTTCTATTGAGTCATCTGTAAATAATTCCAAGTTGGTCGTACGAAACATGTTTTTTAGATTTTGTAAATTTTCTTCTGAGTAATTCCTATATATTACTTTTTTGGTATGGTGTATGTGTGTACTCTTTCCATGTTTACCATATACTTTAGGTAAGACACGAATTATACAGTGATCCGAACTAGACAATGGAGCACGTTTGCGAGTCACATAGGCACCCACATCATTAATGAAAACCAAGTCTAGATGAGAATTCAAACGAGTAGGAATATCTACTACATTTAGGTGACCTAGTGATGTAAGGAAGCTACAGTCACATGAATTGAAATCACCACATACAATTGAAAGTGAATCACTGAAGGCAGTAACGGCGAATTCAGTAAATTTATCAGTGAAGACAGATAGCGCAGATGATGTGCAGTCTGGAGTCATGTAGATATCCTTCAGCGACAACGATAATCAAACACAGAGAGTCGTCTAACATCCTGGACTCGGACAGACCGGGTATTAAAGGCATAGAACAAAACTGCTCTCACCGATGCATTGTAGGTCCAACTTTCACAGACAGACTAATATCACGAAGGCTCCAATGATGGCCCAGATTGACGTAAGTCGCTCTGGCTTTCACTATACGTGAACAAGTCTCATTACTCACCCTACCACCAGCACTTACGCAGCTACCCAGATGCACAAAGTTCTCGAGAACTATCTGCTCACTAACCAGGATGAGTTCAGGTTCAAGGTCCTGCCAGTCTTGTAAAAGTACTTTTCTCTTCGAAGGTTCAAAACACGTGCCATACCTACGGACACTGACTGCCAACTGACTAGATACGGATTCTATGGCTTAGGTATCATCGCATAATAAGACAATATCATTCACATACTCAAGGTCGAAAACTATTTCTCCAGGCAACAGATCCACACCAACATTACCTACATCCATCAGAAGTGTCTCCAGAACGTCATCTAGAGCAAAGTTGAAGTGAAATGGTGAGATTAGGCAATCCTGTCTAGCCCCACTGCTTCAATGAAACAATTGAGAGAGGTGATTGTATTCCATTACACTGCCTGGGTTGCTTGTATCTAGGGCTTTCAAGATGTTAGTAAACTTCTCAGGCACACACTTCAGTAAACAGTCTCACAGAAGTGTACTGTCCAAAGGATCGAAGCCGGCCTTGTAAGTAGAGCAATTAAATGATTAATGACCTGCAATAAGTATTGCGGAGGTTGAATATATGATCAATGCATCCTCAATCATAACTAAAACCAACCTGCTCTTCATGAGCCAGTCTTCCTGGGTTTGGACCAATGTGGGAAGTATGACGGAAGCCAATAATTTGTACGCAATCGGCAGTAGACTTAGCCCCCGATATCAACTTCACAAGTGACGTGAACCGTTTTTAAATATAGAGACAACTATCGGCTCATTCCAGGGTGTTGGAACACTCTTTGATTCCCAAACGGATTCAAAAAACTCACTTGGCTTTTTCCATCTTGCGTCACCTATGACGGGGGCGATATATCCGTTTATCAATTAAGGGACGAGTATACTGCGCGACACTTCGTTCTGTTCTACTTGATAGCTACGTAACGTGACCATTAAGATTAGAGGATACTCGTAAGTCTCTAGTATTTGATCACGGATGTCTTAAAAATATTGCTCGTATCTGCTGGAATCACCGGGTAAGTATTAGTGAGGTTACACACTAACAACTTTGGAACGGACATTCAAACTGTCTTATTCTTCGATGATATGTGCATCTTATGAAACTAATTGTTCATATATTCAGTATCCTCAGTTCTAAGGGACAAAACATAGAGTGCTATTGCATTTCTATTTCATAATCAACACCCTTTAAGACTGCAAGAAACAGAACACATTTCGCTATGTTCGTTTTATCTCCACACTGTTGACATGGTTATTACCTAAGTGTATCAAATGTACAAGTAACATGAGGTCCACTTTATTGACCTAGAATACACAGACGACACAATCCTGTTTGGTGAAGACTGATAAAATTCCGGGTGTTTTAGTAGAACTGAGCAACAAAGCCAGGATATTTGGAATGCGTTCCTCCCCCTCTAAATGTAAATTGTTACTCCAGAACTGGCCTGCGTCAACACCTGAACTAAAGATAGGGAGTGAACTAGTCGAACACGTAGACAACTTCACTTATCTTGGAAGTCCGATCAACCCTAATAGGTTGGTGTCTGACAGAATCTTCGCACAGATTGAAAAAGCTCGTTTGGCTTTTGCCAACTTACGAAACGTGTCCATTAAGATTAGAGGATACTCGTAAGTCTCTAGTATTTGATCACGGATGTCTTAAAAATATTGCTCGTATCTGCTGGGATCACCGGGTAAGTATTAGTGAGGTTAGACTCATGGTATTGGGGAATAATGGTAAATCAGTTAATGAACTTGTGAATCTTCACCGACCGAGATGTTCGGGCCACGTGTTATGCATGCCTGAACCATGGATTACTACGATGCGGAATACTGACTAGTATTGGGGATGGTTGGAAGAGAGTTAGGGGCGGTCAAACCAAAACGTGGCATCAGTCCACAACGTCACTGACTTCTAGTCTGAGTCATGATGGTAGATGCAGACTACTGGGTTGGGGTCCGTACGACTATCGTAACGAATGGTTGGAGACTCTGTGACATAGCTCAGAATCGATCACAGTGACGTAGGTGTAAACACTTTTTGTCTTTTTTTAGACTTTGAGATTAATATTACTTTGTACCTTTCCTTCTACGAACTAATTCTTTCTTCCTGTATCACATTCTTATATGCGATTTTTTTTTATAAATTACTACCACTGAAATAATTGCTTCCATGGATTTGGTTTTCATCTTGTTGTTTTAATGAAGTATGACAACTTGGATCGATGCATATATGTGCCTGGTCCGACTTGCTGGCTGACTGGCTCCGCTCTAGTGCTTAGTGTGACACCAAAGCCGGCAAAACCAGACAGAGATGCCACAGGGTCCCCAGATAAACGCACGTGAAACAAGCTTTTCGAAGCGACAGATGGAGAGCGAATTTGTTATACTTTACTAGGGTCTTGAATATGGGTCTCGGATGGACAGGAGACATCAATGTTGAGACTTTCTAAAGACAGAAAACTCTATTTGCTGTCCAATCTGCTTTAGAGTGTGAAAGATGAATGAGGTTAGTTTGAATGGCATACGTAGTTTCAGAAAGACTGGTTGAGAATTCATATTCAGTGGTATCATTCAACTTTCGACCAGTCAGTGACTTAAGATCGTTTAGATAGGACAGGGTCACCACCATATGCCAAATTCTGTATGGATTGAAGAACAAAAAGATACACAAAATCAATAAAGGATATAGACAAGTGACGTAATGCAAAATAAAAACAAGTGTTAACAAATAATTTTGAGTATGATTTGCGAGAACGAGAATTAAAGCGTGAATAGTTTCCCTATCTGTATTTACCATTTAGTTTGTTTGCGAACTGTGATACTGCCCGGGTGCCCAAACCGAAGCGGGTGGTTTTCCTAGGTAGTCACTCTCCGACTATTTAACCTAGAGGTCTAATCCACAAAACAATGGAGCAACTTTAAGAGTTACAGTAGATTCATATGCGATTTGTTCCCTCAGGATCTTGGAGCCCATGTGCACCGTTGGTTCGGACTCAGGGTTTTGCTATCTATATGTTGTAGGCTGTGCTATGCTGTCGTGTATTTTTCTGTAGGTACAAAGAAGTCTTCGAAATATATTTGTTTTAAAATTCGCTTGGGCACCCAGGCAGTATTTCAGCCCTCACGCGAATCGAGTGATTTGTGTGGCGCACATATATTTGGTGCCTCTTCGTGCCAATAAATAGTTCGGTTGTGTAATCTTGGTGTTATTTTTCGTCAATATCCTTAATTATTCATCACGGTGCAGACTATCATGTAGTATTCATTGCACTTTTTTTTGTGCAAAATCTTTTTACATGTTTTTTTAAATGTTTCTATTGTTCTTAAGCTTAATTTCCTTTACAATTTTATCCATAGGTATGCATGGCTAACCAAAAACACACTGGAGGCATTATACCTCTGCATGAATTGGTGTGTCTGTTAAACAAAAACAGGACACGATATGAGTCTGAAGTTAGTGCTGATGACGTAAAAAGGTCTATCAAAAAACTGCGTTGTCTAGGAACAGGGTTCAGTCTTATTAGTCTATCTGGTGGTCGGTTGTTGGTCCAGTCGGTTCCAGGTGAAATGAATATGGATCAAACTTTGGTGTTGGGGCTCGCAGAAAGTTCTGATAGTCATGTAACAGCATCAGCTGTAATAGATAAGTTAGTGTGTTATTTATGATAAGAAACATATTATTTCAGCTTCCATTTTTAGTAATTTATCTCCGTACTTTTTATTTGGACACAATTGACCTAATCAATCCGGGAAACTTGTTCAGTTAGGTTCAACTGCAAAAATGGAATTGGTAATATTTTTAGTTACAGATCTAACGATTGATGCATAAGTTTATATAGTTGGTCATAATTCTGGATCTACTTTGGGCTCCATTATCCACCAGGGATTTTGTTTATTTTTAGTCATAAGTTGTACTTTGTTTCAGTATTTTGCAGAAATTTGTCCAATTGTCTCTCATTCATTTTAATCAAGAACTGATATCAACCAGGAAACCATTGAAATCCGGAAGTACTGAGTATGATCTCGAACTCCATCAGCTTCAGATCTCAGGATGGGCACAAGATACCATTAAACAATTAAATATAAATTCAAAAGTACATATTTTTAGCTTGAGTTTATTTGAGATGTAACGAAATCACCGTCCAAAATTATCATCAATAAATAAAGATTTCTCAGCGAATTATTTCTGATTGACCACACGAGATAAATTCCCACTGAGACTAGGAAATTATTTTCAAGATTAAGATAAGTCCATTTTTACGTCACTAGTTTCAAATCAGTTGTACGACAACTCCACATAATAATTAGCAACTTATATATGCCAACAAATCGACGTACAGAAAATCATCAAAATAGCCAACTAACCGCAGACTGAAAAGATTGCGATCAGATGAATCCAACTTGACAAATTTCTGACAAAAGATCACTGTCACCATTTCACAACCATGATATGTTATGCGACGAAAAACAAGGTACCCACATTTCTGCAAATTTCGGAAGATTTGACACTTTTTATTTCTGTCCAACTTTTTTTAACTTGTTTCGTCATTTCAGCATATCTAGTTACTAATTTTTCGTTCCGGCAATTTCTGTTGATGGTTTATCACGTCCATTTTGATGTGTTTTATTCATTTGATAACATTCGTCCCTCTCGTTACATTTTATTTATAAAATATCAAGGAAAAACCTCTTAGTATCTACAAAAGAAATATCCATGAAGTTGAACATTAGCATGTAATGTAAACAATTAGCTTACCTTGAATAGGAGTAAAGCTTTTGAAATGATGATGCTACTTCTTCACTTTTCTCTCGGTAAATCAGTCATGTGATCACTTTGTAAATCTAATAAGTGTCATTCATTAAATGATATAAAAACAATGTATATGTGGTTACGAAGTGATTGTTTTATTGAAATGCATCTGAAATGAATCTCCCATAAGTTACAACTTTAATTTATATTGTTGCAAAACAATTTTGATTCTTAAATTCATGTCTAAATGAAATTGACGATCAATCTGTTTTTCAGCAAGTAAAATATCGTCCATCCTGTTACACTCCTCAAAATTTAATCCATCTTGTGTAAATAATTAGATCTATCATTATTTTATAGCATATTTTCTTATTGTTGTATTTTTAAGTAGCAGATTTGTTTGCTTCCTTCTGTATAATATATTACCATCTATTTTAATGATCATAGGCCGATTGTAAAACGTTCAAATAAGTAATTCAACAAACTTACTGCTTTACGCTAGTTATGATCAGTGTTTATCTCGAACTGCTATGCTTTCACAACTATAAGTAACAGTGAATTGTCGATTTGATTACAAGGATTCTGCGGGGATCGCTTTAATTCATAGGTCCTGTTCGTTACAGTTTAATCTCAAGTTCGACTGTACAGCTGTTTCATCCTGCAATAGGACTCCTCATCAGGGGATACCCACATCCCCAGGTCCCACAAAGAACCCTTAATTATTAGAAACATCGGGTTGGTGCGCAGTAACAGAATTTTATCTTCAATTAGTTTTTCACTTCGATCAATAATCTTATTGTTATTATTCAGTCGTCGGAGAAAGTGATTTACTTTGAAGATATCCATTTTTGTTTTGGCTAGTTTTCTTTCTGAAAAAGAACTCAAATTAAGATGTATTTGACTATGATAAATTGAGTTTCCAAGTGATTTGTTACTATATTTGAAATTAAATCACTTTTTTTTATGTATCAGCACTTAATTAGTATGATGCGAAAACTGAGAATTACCATACGGTTTTATGATACCGTTACTTATTGTTCAGTTTGTCCAAGTGTACAACGTTGAGTAAATAACCATTTCAATACTTAATCTTTTTTTCTTGATTTTTAAAAAATCTTCATTCAGATTTGATTGGACTAAAGATCGTACAGATGCTGCATTTCGTCATTTAATACAAGAAGGTATTGCATGGGTTGATGATTTGGATCCTTGTGGTGAAAGAGTATTGTGGTTTCCTAGTCTAATGGGCTCAATAACCACATCATAAATGTATACTTAATGATATTATGCTGCTTTCATTCCCTGTTTATATTTTTTATGAAAACCAAAGGACTTTCACCAGCCATTTTTTTTCTACATTATGAACTAACAAAAACTAATCGTTCATTGTTGATCAGTACCATAAACAAAGTTTACATCTTTTAACCAAAGAATAAAATAACACACCAGTTGACACTAGTGGCTCAAAAAATTAAAGCCATGCTAAAGATCATGTTTAATTTTATCTGCTTTTTAGTGTCGTTGCGATAATCGTTTTTTCATCATAGCGAAATTTCGTTATTTTATGTGACGCGTTAAATGTTTCTCACTACGTTTTGCTACCGTTTTCATGTCAGTGTGTACTTTCTAGCTTGTTAACATGTTCTCTGCTATAAAACACCAATTCATTTTATTTAAAGTAGTTTTTTGTATATATTAAAAATCATTGTAAATTTGTATCTGAGATCAATGTTGCCATTGGCTGAAATTTCCTAACTGTCTGCATATTCGCTCCTAAGTGTTCTTCTGGAGCGTGTTGCTTGTGAGTTTAAAAAAATGAGAAATTGTCTGGTATGATGTATTCTATATTATATCAGATGATCCGTCACCATCAACAAGCGAAACTGATTTTAAATATCTGGTTGTCCACTTTAGGGATATATTCGAAAGGATTCTGGGACCCAGGGATCTAAAAACTTGGAATCAAGTGTGAGTAATCTTTGATATTTTGCTGAAGTTTGTCATTAAAATACTTATTATCTAACATTTCTAGATCACTTGGTAGCGTTATATGGTGTGATGAAGTAAATTGGATAAGAAAAACCCATTATCAGTTTGTGGCGTACGTGTTGGTTTTTTACAAGACGAAATCAGAGGGTCATGGTTAAGTAGTAAAAAGGTAATATAGCGTTATGTTGAGAACCTTCTAGATCAAAGTTTACTGGCCGTAAAGCAAGGTTTTCGATGGGTTACGATCTCAACAATTATACTAATACTTTACCCAAGATAGTGTACAACCATGCATGTGATTTACGTTACAGAAGGTTGAATGATGAGCAGCTGTTTGCTGTAGTACCAACAATGCCATCCGCAGGGATCTCATTAATAACAATTATATCTTGAGAAAACTATGATTAATTACGAAAAGCTAAATATCCCAGCCAACAGCAACATTAGTCTCAAATACAAATTTACATTGGTTTTTAATATATACAAAAACTACTTCAAATGAAATGGACAAAGAACATGTTACAAAGCTAGAAAGTACATGTTATATCCTAGTGAAGAAATAAATATGGGTAACCTCCGGGACCTGTCAATGGACTATTATTCTATACATATTCTTATGGTTTAACTATTGAGTAACTAGTTTGCGTATATCTATATTCACCTTATTATAAGCTTTATTTTGACCTATGAATTATTACTGTACGATTTACTGTCCCCAAATTATGTTCAGTTTATTGATTACTGTATCCCACGTTCACAGCCACATCTGGCTTGATCTTGTGCAAATATTACTTTCTATTTTATGATATGATGCGGCCTGTCTGTCTGGTATATAAACAGAGTATGCTTGAAATAAATGATTCGCATAGCAGAAGCTGTAATTGGTGTTCTGGACTCAATTGGAATGGCTAGACGGACAAGGGACCAATAAAAACGTTAGACTGCTTATACCAGTTGGACATCATTGATTGACACAGTCTTAAGATTAGAAAAGTCGTATTTTGATTGGTGGACAATTCACGTTATAAAAGCCGGACATAAAGATTAATAAGGAATTGTAATACGTCCTCATAACAGTACACACTACATGAGAAGTATGACAACTTGGATCGATGCATATATGTGCCTTGTACTACGTTGTAGCTGACTGACCTTTGGAACTATGTGATGGATACTAGAAGGAATATTCATCTGTAGAAAGTGAAGCTACTTTTGCATCGCATCAGTCTGAAGGTACAGTCCGTCAATTGGCACGGAAAAATCAAGGGTGTCCCGTATGTTCACCTTAACTGCGCAACACGTTACACTACAGATCCCTGAACTCTGTCGCTTATAATCTGTTAACTTAAGCTCCTTATATGTAGTTGGAAAAGCCACCATAGAAACGTCTACATATTATCAGAAAATAAAGGTAAAACAGTCACTTCTAATTTTATATGCTTTATTACTTTCTCCAAGTAAACTTAACTTCAGATACGCCTCTAACTATGCTTCATTTAGGTTGATATGTTCTATGAGAAAACTAAAAACATATAGTAAATGCTAGTATCTCAATAAATAAACCCCACGTTTTTAAAAACTAACAATGCAAAACATATTTAGAAGACTGAAGTGTTCGTTAGGACTTTGGTCGTTTAGGTAGGTAAAAATGGATGGTTCATAAAGCAACTAACACAACGAAATATGTTCTCAAGGCTTCGTCAAACCATACAAAATTACTAGAGGTCCTGGAGTAAAAGCGTCACTATCCACCAAATGTTCGAGCACTGCCATACGTCCTGGAAACCACCAAATGCTGACATCAAGGTTGCTTTTAATTTGTTGAACAAATGTGTGCAAAGTTACCCATTCTTCCCAAATTACGCAACGATCCTAACATTATATGATATATTTCTCTCAATTTCTTACGCTTCTCATGATTTACAGATCCACTTAAACATCTATATCTAGTTTATTAATTAATATGCATAAAACTGCTCCTCATCATATTACTCTTTGTAACTTTAGGCCGTTTGTGACTGAGGAGAAGCTTCAGAAGAGAATCTTGTTATTTATTTCATTTTTATTCTTTTGGTTTCATTTCAGAATATAATCTTTTTATTTTTGATACCCAACTGTACCGGAATTTATGCGTATTACATAAAATAAGTGGTGTTTGATAAGAGTTCCAGTTTGAACCCAAGATGGATCCAGTTGACGACCCGGAAGTAAGAACAGTGGAGAATTTCGAAGTACATTAAAAACATAAGTCGTTGAATAATTCCATTGCTAAACAACGTGCCATACTATAGTAGTATTATGAATTTGCCACAAACATAGTGAAAATACCAGATATTCAACAATCTAACCTTGAGAATCGTTTCTATTGGACATGAACACACTTACGCGTTACTCCTCGTAGAAGAGCATAAGCCGCCAACCAGCATCTTCCATCCAACTCTGCCCTGGGCAATTCTTCCCAGTTGTTATTCATCCTTTTTATATCTGCTTCTATTTCCCGGCGTAATGTATTCTTTGGCCTTCCTCTTTTCCGCCTCCCTTCCGGATTCCAAGTTAGGGCTTGCCTTTTCATGCAGTTCAATTTTCGTAATTTATGTCCTATCCACTTCCAACGTCTTTTCCTAATTTCCCCATCAGCTGGAAGCTGGTTTGTACTCTCCCATAAAACGCTGTTGCTGATGGTATCCGGCCAGTGAATGTTGAGTGTTTTGCGTGGACAACTGTTTATGAATACTTGTACCTTCTTGAAAATGATTGTAGTAGTTCTCCACGTTTCAGCTCCGTACAGTAGGACTGTCTTGACGTTCGTATTGAAGATTGTGACTTTGAAATTAGTTGACAGTTGTTTTGAGTTTCACCTGTTCCTCAATCTTAAAAGTGCTGGCTTTGCTTTGCCAAGCCGTGCCTATACGTCTGCATCGGATCCTGCTTGTTCATCAATGACGCTCCTCAGGTACGTGGAAGTTTCCATCTCTTCCGGAGTTTCTCCATCAAGTGTGATTGGGTTGGTGTTCTCCGTGTTGTATTTGAGAATCTTGCTTTTTCCTTTGTGTATGTAGAGGCCTATTGCTGCTACACTAGTTGTCTTTATTTGCAATTGTTCGTGGATATAAATACGACATTGTTTCAATTCATTTTTTCATTGTTTGTTAGAATCTTCCCATGGATGTTAAGGACTGTAATTGATCAGCCTCTTATTGGCATATGTGTATCTTGTGCGAATACATATTGAATTGATAATGCACCCCATCGCACAAGCTAGTTGTTGTCAGGGCCCAGTAGCAAAGTGGATTACGTGATGGCGTTTGAAGCGAACGGTACAGTGTTTGAGTCTTAGAACAATCATCAACTGTGGGATGCAGGTATATCTGATTGACGAGTCCCGAATAGAAAAGAACGCGAGTCTTGGATTCCAGTGCTAACCATCATCGATCTTTGCCTACAACATTGTTATTTTGTCAATTCCTCATTCAATTTGTGAATAGATATTATCAAAAGTAACTCATTTTTACGTACTATGCTTACTGAAAAATTGTTCGCTTGCGGCTACCAACTTTCACTTCTAAAATTTATCTTCAAATCATTGCCTGATTTTCGTACAAAACCTGTAGCTAATTTTTAGAATGACTTTCAAACAATTCAACAGCTAACATGTTGACCAATAAATTTACTGTTTTGTAGTTGCAAGAACAAGCAATATATAAGTGAAGCCCTGAAAAGTAACAGGTCACAGATAAGCATTTCTTTATAATTCATGTTACACTAAATAAGTACAAATAAGCAGTATATAATTACGTAAATATTGTAAGATACCTACAATAAATTAGCATTATTAAATACACAGAAATTAGTTTTAAAAAATACTAGCTAAATAATCAACAATAATGTATTTTTCCCATTTCCGAAATATGATCTATACATAAATACGTTAAAGTATGAAAGACATTATCACATGAGTTTCATCTAAATTACACTTGAATACAAGGTAGTTTACTTCTAAATAGTTGAAAATAAACAACTAATATGAAGCCTAAAATTGCGCCGAGTGCTGCTCCGAATTGTGTAGATAATCCAGCTAATCTGAGTCGCGTCGGTTTATTGGAATGGCTAGACAAACTCATCCATATCCATGTGCGCAAACTGGCAAATAAACAGCGTATCGCAATCCAAGCCAGGATCTATAGGATTTAGAAAGCAATAAATAATCGAGTGTAAAAATCATATGTGTATTACAGTATTTTGCACGTTTGATCAAAGGACAGGAACAATCACTTAGTTATTTTGATAGCTTAGTGTTCACGACGAAGTGATGTCCCATATTGCCAAGCATTCCTAAATACATTCATATTTGGCTTTATTGTGGAACAGATACTCTAAGCAGTAATATAACAGAAAGTCGGGCAATCAAGCATTGATCCAAATGGATCCATTTTAAACAGCATAGATAAATTACTATGTAAAGCAAACGAGTTAAAATTATATTACCGATAGTAATAACAAACTAGTAATATATATACTCAGAATTTACGAGTAGATCAGGTATTAATACAATCGCACTGATACTAACGAGTTCCTAATCATTCTAACCCTAATCCCAAAAATAGAGTTTGGGAATCTCATGAATCCTAACAACAAAACCAACAGTTCTCTGTACAACTTATCGTTTCTGTAGGTTAATATAACGTTCTTATCCGAACACCCTGAAATTCAGTTCTTATTTGAACTACTATACCAAGATGACGTGACATACATTTAATTCCCTTAATTAAGGCATGTACAAACCTTCATTAATCGTACTGTCACCATCACTTATCGCCTAAATTCGATAGTGCTTATTCAACAGGTTCTATCATCATACAATAAAGCTTTCTTCTATGTTCTTGACATTTCGAAAAACGACTTTTGTCTTACAGTCAAAAAGGCCATTTAGATAAATTGGAAAAGTTCATAGTCCAACACCAACAATAAAATTATATTAGTAGAAATCTAAGTGATTGAAACGGAGCAGTTGGGACCAGTGATGAGTTTCTTATATAACATTTCTTCACATAAAAAAGATTTAATACTTCACTTCTACCTAAAGTTTGCGCTGATTATGTTGTTCAGAAGGACAACGAAAGCTCCACAACCAGATTATTCAGCTTAGAGGACGAAACTCCATCAAAAAGATCCAATGTATGAAGATGACTGGTTAATTATATGGTACAAATTTGTCTTTGTGATCCTATTTATCATCAAGCAAAACATTCAAATTTATTTGAATTTAATCACGGAGATGTGAATAAAAATGATTAGATTTTTAGCCTTTTCTACAAATAAAGTAAATTAACCCATTCACCAGGTATTTGAGTAGAAGTCACACTCTACGTGTGAGGGGTTAATGCTGCTATCCGGTTGCCTAAACTGATATAGTTGGAACGAGATTTTTTTATAATCTAGGTGTTTAATTTCTATAGAACTCCTCATTCAAATCTTCACAAAAACTCCATACATAAACATTGGTTTTTACGGTTATCCATTTTTCATCAGTGGGAAGAAAAATCAAATCTAAATATACCTGGTTCGTATTTCGTCAGGTTATGATTACACTAGATGTTGATAAAGTACTAACACATTTTTATTGACTAGGACTGGGAAGCCTTATAACTTGAAAATAAATCATTAAAATAAACGGTAGAAAAGAAGAATAAAACTAAGACGTAACGTACAGCACTGGCAGAACCGAAACCACCCAAATATGGTGGATTGGGACTTGAACTAGCCAAATAAACAACGTAAGCAACAGGTAACAAAGAGATGAGTGAAATACTGATCCATTTATTTTGGAGTGAGCGTGTATATGTATTACTCATAATTATGTCAGGTTTTTGTATGTAACAAATTTGATTCTGTTCATTTAATTCACGATTCATAGTTTGCAAATTTTCAAACGTTGATTCATCAGTACTACCTATTTCCCTACAATAATGATTGACAAGAAATGTAGTTAACACTGTCATTATAGCAGAGCATAATCCTGACAGTGTAACTGCTAAATGATATGTAAGAGAGCCATACGCAGCACATGAATAAGATTGTATAGCTGGTAGAAATCCATAATTTGATGCACTAATGTAAATGATAAGTAAACATGATAAAAATATGTTTGGTCCAAACTGTTTCGTAATATTAACATCATTTTGAGACTGTACAGTTTGTTCAATCTGATACAACACAGAAACATCGACTAAAAAAACATAAGGGGATTTAAAAAAGAAATAATGAATTTGTATATTTTATTGTCCAGTGTTTAAAAAAGAAAACTAAAATGTTTTCTTTCCATTAAAAATATGAATTCGCGTTGTTTTTATAGTAGCTCAACCTACAAGTGAACAGTTAGCGATTTAAGCGGGTAAACTGGCATATCTGTGATATATGGCCAAAAATATGGAAGTATAACTTTTGGGGCCACCGTAGGAAGGATTATTTATATGTTCATTATTAAATTAGCAGAGGCTTAGATTGTTTTATCTTTATATTTTGATATTACTAGGCTTTCGTTTGACCCACATGTCATTGTCATATATGTCTTATTTCAGATTTATCGTTAATTGCTTATTTCCCCAGTATTACGGTTCTTTACCACTTATGACTAAGCTAAGTGCATATTGTAATTTTCCAATTACGTTGCTGTGTATTTAGGCATTTCAGGTACATTATTTTATAAGTTTCGAGTCAGTACTGAATAAAATAGAGTACTAATCGGCTACCTGTCTTTGTCTTCTAATGAGACACCGAGTTAAAAGGAGCTCAATGACCAATAAGCATGGAGAAACTAAAATTTATGAAGACCTCTGAGCAACACTAAAATCACCCTTAGAAACTTCAAACATTTACTAGGTTCGAAATGGAGTGACTTATGAACCAATGTGAGGGATTAGGACTGATATTTGACTAGAGCGGGGGATGAAATTCGTGATACAATTCAAGAGGCGCCATCTGAGATATGATTGGTTCAAGGAACATGGAACAATCCAAGCAATCCGTTCCCCCCATTTTAATGTTGTATTAATATGGTAACTAATTGGTTGATAATGTCTTTTGACCACTTACTCTTTCCCCAGGACCTCCCAACAATTAAATACAAAACGGAAGAAAATAGGAAAGACAAATATGAAAAAGAGCTTTACTTCCATGGTAGGTTAATGTACAGAGAGCAATAATATTTACGGGTTTATGGCCGACCTTGATATTCTCAAAGCTACTGAAATAAAGTTAGTAACAAAATCGGGAATTATTCAACCAAAATATGACATATAATAGATGGTTTTTCTAGAGCTTTGCAAGAAACTTATATTAACTGCTTGTTTTGATGAATCATTTTCAGTCTTTTCCTAGCTTCTAAAGATACTTCCGATGACTCCTCGAAGAATCTCAACACCTAATAGGCTCTCTTAGCAACCACTTACTGATAAAAATTACATGGATCTTGCTCGAGGTTGACTAAACTGGAGAAAGTGAGTTTCAGGGACTACATCAGACGGATGAAAATCGCATGGAATAGGGTAGAAGTGAATTCACTACCGAATATTACTATTATTGTAAATGTATATGTCCTATTTGAATGTCTTGTAAGTGAATTAAGAATCTAAAAATCACATGTTTTAGTTACACATATTAACACCAATAATGTATATTCATGTTATAACTGGAACAATGGCCTTGTAATTTTTCCCATGAAATGTGAAAAACGAAACATGTATCGTATTTTTTGTGCAATTCACAATCATATGATAGAATATCTCAAGTTATATGTCAATATGTATGTCCAAACGCCCACATACAATCGAAGCGTGAGATAAGAGATAATGCATATTGGGAACGTCAAACTGCTCATTACATATCAGTATGTAAACCCTACATTATTTCATAGAGATGTAGACACGTGATGTAAGTGTTATATCCCGATGAGAATAAGGAATAGTAACTGTTGCGATCTATTTATGAACAAATACTACACATATATTTTATTATATGATTGTTAAGTAACTAAACTATGAACATTCACATTCCTCTCATTATAAGCTTTATTTTGACCTATAGACTATTATTATTCGATTAACCATTCTTAAGTTATGCCCAGTTTATTAATTAAAGTCTCCCTCAATCACAGCCACTTTTGGCTTGATTTTGTACAAATGTTATTTTCTACTTTCAATTTAACAATAAGATCCACAAATAGATGAATGGAGCACCAATGGGATTGCCAATATCAGGACTTATTGCAGAAGCAGTGATGCAGGGACAAGAAGCCTCGATCCTCCCAGTGACAAAGCCAAAAATGTGAATTCGTTATGTGGACGACACACAATTCATCTTTAATAAGAACGAGCTGGAAAATACAATTTGACCAACAACGTCTTCGTTGACAGAGAATTCACAATGGAGAGAGAGTCGAACAATAAACTATCATTCTTGGATGTACTGGTCACCAGAACTGAGACCGAAGAACTGGAGTCTTAAGTAAATCAGAAGCCAACCGACACAGATTAAATTCTCAACTACAGTAGTAACAACTCAAGAACTCACAAAATCAACTCCGTACAAATCCTATCTAAAAGTGTGAGAACACACTGAAGCACACTCCAATTCACCAAGAAAAACGAAATCAAATATTGAAACCAATAAACAGATCATTCTACCATATATAACAGACATTAGAAATTACGAAATTATTGAAGCCGTTTAAAATAGATGTAGTACACAAACCAGCGAAATCACTTCAATCAATCATACGCAGACTGAGGGATTAAAAGATCGGAAGACACACCCAACATTATTTACAAAATCAGCTGTCCGAATTGTGAGAAAAACTACATCGGACAAAGAGGACAACCCCTCCATCTTCGCCAGCACGAATATCAACTAGAGGTTAAATGCCATGATATATGTTCATTTATATCAATGAATATGGACAGATGTTGACATACACTCGACTAGAAAAAAATGTTGAAAACTTGTATATAGGGGATAGTAAGAACACCAGGGAATTTTTAGAAGCTTGGGATTCAAGTCAATCAGAAATCAACAAACACATCGAAATCGACTTATTGACCAATCAGAAAAATCATGAACAGATATAATATCAAGAATCAGATCAAAGGGAGCTATAATCAAAATAACGATGTAGATAATGCCAGGTTGAAAGTCAACAATAATCAATTAAGATTGAAGTCGATAGAACAACCTATGGATAATTTGCGGATAAATTCGAATATTTTACTACTACCTGAAGTTTGTGCTTATGTTGTTTAGAAGAACACTTTGAGCTCCACGACCAAACCATCCATCACATGGAACGAAAATCCCATAAAATTATCCACCTAAGCTACAAACTTTTTCCCTCATCTAAAAATTATATGTGCATATATCAGACAGTAGAAGAGCGTAACATTAACTATCAGTCAGTCAGTCAGTCAGTTACAACGTAGAACTTCGTACGTACGTACATCAGTTCGAGTTGCCATACCAGATTACCACAGAGATGCAGTTGTCGATTCAAATACCATATTGGTAGAAATAGTAAGAGAATAAGTATTATGTGAAAGATTAGGGTTTGAAGATATTATTGAAGGAGTATAATACAATGAAATAAATTTAGAAAGAGAAAAAGGATACAGACATGAAGAATTCAGATTAGAATTTGGTAGAACACAAAGAGTGGATGCACCTTCGCCATTGCAAACGATTTTGAGCCATGTCATTCAAGGTCTCTAACCATCGATTGCTATCATCACGCGAATACCAACCAGGTAGTCCACAGCTACCAACATCGCTCAGTCCACTTGTCAGTGACTTCATGGATTTGTGCCATGTTTTGGTCTGGCCGCCCCCAGCTTTCTTCCAACCTGCTCCTACACCATAAAGCATTGCACGTCGGGGCAGTCGATGGTTGGGCATACGTAACACGTGTCCCAACCATCTCAACTGATGAAGTTTCACTACGTCATCAATCGATTTGCCATCCTTACCTAGTAACCGTTTCCTAACAACTACATTACTTACCCGGTGGTCCCAGGATATACGAGCAATGCTTAGAAGACACCTATGATTGAATACTAGTAGCCTACGAATATCCTCTACTCTTACCGGTCATGTTTCACTGCCATAAAGTAGGACGGAACGGACTGCTGCACAGTAAACCCGTCCTTTTGTTGCTAGACGGATATCTCGCCTACGCCATAAATGACGCAAGTTGGCAAAAGCTAGACGAACCTTCTGTATCCGTGCTGAGATTTCGTCACATACCAGACCACAAGGGCTGATGAGACTCCCAAGATAAGTGAAGTGGTCTACACGCTCAACTATTTCACTCCCTATCATTAGTTCAGGTGTCGATGCAACCCAATCCTGAAGTAACATTTTGCACTTCGAGGGAGAGAATCGCATTCCGAACATGCCTGCATTGTTGCTTATAGTGGTCAGAAGACTCTGCATTTTGTCAGTCTTCACCGAATAAAACTATGTCGTCGGCGTATTCTAAGTCAACAAGTGAGCCTTCTGATAAAAGTTCAACTCCAGGATATTGAGATGATGAAAGTGATATCTCCAAAAGCATGTCGATGACAAAGTTAAATAAGACTGGCGAGAGTGGACAGTCCTGACGAACACCACTTGAGGTAACCAATTCTGATGACAGTTCGCCATAGGCTCTAACTCGACCAGTTGTGTTCGAGTAGAGAGCCTTCAAGAGGTTAATGTAATTCTTTAGTACTCCTTTCACTGACAAACATTGCCATAGAACCTCACTATCAACGGAGTCAAATGCCGCCTTAAGGTCAAGAAATACTACTGTTGTGGGACGTCTGAATGTATGTCTATGTTCTAGGACCTGACCTAGAGTGAATATCTGGTCTATGCAACCACGTCCAGGTCGAAAACCAGCCTGGTTTTCTCTAGTCTGCTCTTCGCGAGCTTTGGTTAGGCGTTGAAGTATTATTGAAGCTAAGATTTTAGACACTATATTAGTCAAACTGATTCCTCTGTGATTGTCACAGGAGGACTTTTTTCCTTTCTTATAGACTGGCACAATCAGTGATTGAGACCAGTCAGATGGAATTACGTCCAGTTCCCAGATTCTACCTAAGACCTCAGTCAATCTCGCTGCTAGTACTGGACCGCCATCCTTAAAATTCTCAGGGGTAAACCTGTCAGGGCCTGCGGCTCTCCCTCGCTTCAGATTTCCTATAGCTTTTTCAACCTCGTAGAGAGTTGGAGGACTTACCTCAATTTGCCATTCAGGACGACTGGGGATCGTGGGTAACTGAAGTGTGGCTGAAGGCCAGTTGAACTGATCCTTAAAGTGTTCTGCCCATCGATCCAATCTCCTGGATTGAGAATGAATGACATGTCCATCTTTGTCTGAGATAGTTTGGCTAATAGTTGGGTTCCTAATGCCGGTTTCTTTAGTAAGTCTGAATAGCTGTCTGCTGTTACCTATTGCTATTCAGACTTATTAAAGAAACCGGCATTAGCAACTCAACTATTAGCGAAACTATCTCAGACAAACATTAACTATATAGAACATGATCATTAAAAATAGATGACAAGAAATTATTAACCAATCTGTGCTTAATGACCATATGAACGGTAACTATTATTATTATTATTATTATTATTATTATTATTATTATTATTATTATTATTATTATTATTATTATTATTAATGGTAATAACAATAACAATAATAATAAGGATAATGATAATAACAAATTTCATCAATCTAGTTCATATCAGTGTACAGTTCTTTGAGTTATATTTATTGTTTGAAAATATTATTTAGCTACATAAACTGAAATTTAGAAGTATTTTAGTCCGTAACTACAGAAACCACCAAGAGGTTTGTTTTCTCTAAAAGATTATCATTATACCCAAGACTTTCCAAAATTGCTCTTTGTTAACAACTTTTCACTTTCAATTAATAAAAATATGGTCATAAAATCAAATTCACAAAATTCCAGAAACAAAAGAAAACAGGAACATACCATTTTGAATATATTCAAAGGTATCATTAGAAATATGTTGATTTCCATTCGATTTAAATCTTTCTAGACTATTGTGATTTATGCTATGAATATTTGCATTAGATTCAACTATGAAATTAGTTTTTCGATAATGTTCATGGATAAATCGACCTAAACCAATAGGTGAACAATCCAGTAGGATGAATGCAGTCAAGGATAACAATAAAACGATGCATAATAGATAAATGAATGTACTGACAGAAAAACGTGGTGGAGGAAAAAAGGGGACCACACGAAGTGTATTATTAACTGAAGAAGAAAAAAAACAAATAAAGAAATCGAGAGAATCATCAACAATTTAGCTAAACTGTTTATTTTATTATTAAGAAAATGTATGTCAATATTTCGATACACATTTGTTGGTATGTGTTATTTCAATTTAACATATTTTCTCTAAATATAAAAACATTACACACGTAGTTTCTAGTACTATGTCAAGCCCATATAGGTTATTCTAGCTTTAAAGCAATTAGTCCTTTTGATAAATTTCGATAGTGCAATAAGACGTCTTTTTATTCTAGTTTTTAAATAGGCCTATTGATTTATACTTAGACCTTGTCAATTATTAGTAACCTTGACTGTTTTTATATGAGCATATTTGTATTGCTTACCTTATACATCACATGTCATGAGCTTATTTTTGTATGGGCAGAAAAAGCGAGTAACTCCGCCTGTAACACTCCTAGATTTACTACCGGTCCCAAACTCAGGTAAAGGAGGAGGGTTGGGTATGGAATTAGCGACCCCATCCCGTAGAAAATCAACTCGCTAAAAAAACACTAACCAGGAAAAATAATTTAAACCACGTAAACTCTGCTTTGGGAGTTGAAGGAATAATTATGACGCCTCATGATGAAAGCCGAGATTCTCCGAAAATAACGAGGCCAATGCCTCTTCTAAAAACCAGAGCAATAATTTTTATAGATACATGGAACGTCCGGACAATGTGGGAGACCTGGAAGACCAGTCAAATAGCAATGGAAATAAGGAGATACAAATTGGTAGTACTCAAAATCAGCAAAACCGATCGGACCCATGCTAGATAGCAAAGGCTAGATACGGAAAGAGATGCTGCTGTTCTCTGGTCACCAAGAGGAAAATGCTCCACACACTCAGGGAGTTGCTCTAATGCTGTCCAAAGAAGCACGAAATGCACTTGTAGGATGGGAATCTCATGGATCCAGAATTATCAAAGCATCATTCGAAACAAAGAAGGAGGGGATCACAATGAATGTTATCCAATGTTATGCACCCACCAATGATAGCAACGACGAAGATAAAGATCAGTTCTATGGAAGGCTGCAATCAATTATAGCGAAGTGCTCAAGAAAGGACCTCACCATCCTGATGGGAGATCTAAATGCTATAGTCGGAATGGACAACACAGGATATGAAGATATAATGGGGCGACATGGACTAGGAGAGAGAAATGAAAATGGGGAGAGATTTGTAAATCTATGTTCATTCAACAAATTGGTTAAAGGCGGCACAATATTCCCACACAAACGCATACACAAAGCTACATGGATCTCGTCGGATCACACCTCGGAAAACCAGATAGATCATATTTGTATCAACAAAAAATTGCGAACGACAATGGGAGATGTGAGAACGAGGAGAGGGGCTGACGTGACTTCAGATCACCACCTGATTGTGGCCAAGATGAAACTGAAGCTAAAGAAACACTGCACAACTGGACAAACAACATTACAAAGGTTCAATACAGCCTTCCAACGAGGTACTAACAAACTCAACGAATTCAAGATAACTCTCAACAACAGGTTCCCAGCTTTACAGGATCTACTGAAAGAACAAGAAACTACGATGGAGGACAATTGTAAAGGGATCAAAGAAGCACTAACTTCAACGTGTCGAGATGTTCTGGGTCGCAAGAAGCATCACAATAAGGAATAGATCTCTATGGAAACTCTGGACAAGATTGAAGAAAGAAAGAACAAGAAGACAGCAATTAACAACAGTCGAACACGAGCAGAGAAAGTCAAAGCACAAGCAGACTACGCAGAAGCAAACAGGGAAGTGAAGAAGAGCATTAAAGTCGACAAGCAGGATTACATGGCAGAACTAGCAACGACCGTGGAAAATGCTGCAAGAGAAGGGAATATGAAACAACTGTATGATACAACGAAGAAACTGGCAGGGAGATATAGCAAACTGAAGAGACCAGTCAAGGACAAAGAAGGGAACATAATCGTAGAGGTTCAAGAACAGAGGAAAAGATGGGCAGAATACTTCGAGGAACTGCTAAATAAACCAGCCCCATTGAATCCACCGGACACCAAAGCAGCACACACTGACCTTCTTATATATGTCACTCGACCAACGACCGAAGAAATCAAGATGGCCATCAGACAAATCAAGAGTGGGAAGGCAGCAGGACCTGACAATATACTAGCCGAAGCACTGAAGTCAGGCATTGAAGTAACAGCAAACATGCTTCACCTTCTATTCAAGAAGATTTGAGAGGAAGAACAAGTGCCACTGACAGACTCGAAGGAAGGATACCTCATCAAGATACTCAAGAAAGGAGGTCTGAGCGAATGTGAGAATTACAGAGGCATCACACCGTTGTCAGTACAAGGAAACGTTTTCAAAAGAGTGTTGCTGAACCGGATGAAAGACGCAGCATATGCTGGATTTCGAGATAAACATGCCGGATTCCGTAAGGATCGGTCGTGCATAGACCAAATTACGACACTACGAATTATCGTGGAACAATCAACTGAGTCGAATTGGTCACTATACATCGACTTCATTGACTATGAGAATGCGTTTGACAGTGTGGACAGGAGAACATTATGGAGACTTCTTCGACATTATGGAGTTCCTGAGAAGATCGTCAACATTATCCGGCACTCATACGATGGACTACGGTGCAAAGTCGTGCATGGAGGACAGCTGACAGATGCATTTCTAGTAAGGACCGGAGTCAGATGAGGCTGGCTACTCTCCCCCTTCATCTTTCTTCTGGTGATTGACTGGATTATGAAGACCTCGACATCTGAGGGGAAGCACAGAATACAATGGACATCTCAGAATGGATTAGACGATTTTGACTTCGCAGATGACCTAGCCCTCCTATCCCATACACACGAACAAATACAGATGAAGACATATAATGTAGCAGTAGCCTCCGCATCAATAGGCCTCCACATTCACAAAGGAAAAAGCAACATCCTCAAATACAACACGGAGAACACCAACCCAATCACACTTGATGGAGAAACTCCGGAAGAGATGGAAACTTCCACGTACCTGAGGAGCGTCATCGATGAACAAGCAGGATCCGATGCAGACGTATAGACACTGGTTGGTAAAGCAAAGTCAGCACTTCTACGATTGAGGAACAGTAAAACTCAAATCAACTGTCAACTAAGTTCAAAGTCAGAATCTTCAATACGAACGTCAAGACAGTCCTACTGTACGGAGGTGAAACGTGGAGAACTCCTACAACCATTGCCAAGAAGGTACACGTATTTATAAACAGTTGTTCACGCAAAACACTCAACATTCACTGGCCGGATACCATCAGCAACAGCGTTTTATGGGAGAGTACAAACCAGCTGAGGAGGAAGTTAGGAAAAGACGTTGGAAGTGGATAGGACATAAATTACGGAAATTGAACTGCATGACGAGGCAAGCCCTAACTTGGAATCCGGAAGGGAGGCGGAAAAGAGGAAGGCCAAAGAACACATTACGCCGGGAAATAGAAACAGATATAAAAAGGATGAATGTTAACTGGGAGGAACTGGGAAGAATTGCCCAGGGCAGAGTTGGATGGAGAATGCTGGTTGGCAGCCCATGCTCCTCCACGAGAGGTAACAGAAGTAAATAAGTATAAATGGTAAGTCGCTCTTTATCAAATTGAGTTGGAATATTGGCTTCGCTTTGCTTCACTTTCCCACTTTTTATCCTTAATGTCTGTCTGAATCAACGAATGCTTGAAATAAATTTATTCATTTCAATCCGTATTTGGTGTCTTATTACACCGTCGCACAAACAGTGTTAAGCCACTCCACCTCCGCTGACTCCTTTCAACTGTATATCAAGAAAATGTAACACGATTTTGAGTTAATTAGTCTAGTGTCCACATCCCAATTCGATCAGTAGGATCCAATTAAACATGATAGAGGTTGCTAATCGGTCTATAATTAACATAAGCATCCTAGTTCTACAGTTCAAATATGATTCAAACAGCAGGGTGATAATAATAACTGTTAGTGAAAGTGAATGAAGTAAATTCGAACCCTACAGAGATCGATTTTCTCAAAACAACAAATACATCTTGCTTGTAAGATCTGATTAACATGAAGCTTAAGTCCAAGGCTCTCCGCTGAATCTTCGCAATTATTTAACATCACAACGGTGCATAAAATGACAAGTCACTCAATCTAGTGGCTACATTGCAACCTGATTGATAAAATTTAATCATACTTAAGGACTAGACAATATAACATAGGTAACTACCCAATGTTTAGTTAGGTTAAACATTTCTATTGTGAAGAGGGAAGATTCTAAACTCAAAGAATACGATTTACTTGTGAGTAGTAATCATGACAGTTAAGTGAAGGGTGGTGTCGCCACGTCGACAAGTACGTTATCTATCAGTCCACTACATAAGATTTCCACTGTAAGATGATTGTCATTTGATTATTTCGATTCTTTACAGTTTCCACTAACTGAAGTGATATAAGCACATTATGTATCGATCAGTAATAATAAAGTGAGTATGGTATACACTAATCAATAACCATTTTATCCAAATACAAAAAAAATTATTAGCACCGACAATAACATAGACGTAATATCATTTTAATCTTTGTCAGACAATTAGTTGTATGCATATACAATCTTAGATAAAAAAGAAAATCATACTAATTATACCTGTTTTATTGATACATTCCGATTCTGACCCAACTCCTTGAATAAGGGCTAATGTACTTGGAACTAAATCACTAAATGCTTCACCGAAATGTAAAGCACCTACATACAATTGAGGCATTCCATTCAAATAGGTAATAAATGTAACTGATGATGTACAATCAACAATTGAAGCAAACAAAGCTAAGACAAATAATCCAATACTATAGTAGCCAGGTTTTAATATTGATACGTAAGCTACCGACTAAAAATTTAAAAAAAAAGATGACAATAAAAGTAGTATAATGATGAAATGAAGATATACAGACTGAGTGGATCGATATTAGGTATTACATATATAAAACAACGATTCAACTACTGTTGTGAACAAACATTCTAATTATTCAGTTTCAACAAGTGGGTTGAGATTTAAAACTATATATGCAGACAAGTACAGCTCATTACGGAACAATAAATAAATTCCTATATTCTAACGATCACTACATTACAGTGATTAAATTATTATCTTTGAGTAAACTCCGCCTGTAGCTCCCCCGGGGGCTACTGCCGGTCCCAAGCCCATACAAAGGAGGAGGGTTGGGCATGGGGTTAGCGACCCCATCCCGTAGAAAATCAACTCGCTAAAAAAACGCTAACCAGAAAAAATCATTCAAACCATTCAAACTGTGCCCTGGGAGTAGAAGGAATAATTATGACGTCTCATGATGAAAGCCGAGTTCCTTCGGAAGTCATGAGGCCGATGCACCTTCTTACAACCACAGCAACAATTTTTATAGGTACATGGAATGTCCGAACAATGTGGGAGACCGGAAGAGTCTTCCAAATTGCTGCAGAAATGAGAAAATACAACCTGGAGGTTCTTGGAATCAGCGAAACACATTGGACGCAGGTTGGACAACAACGACTGTCTTCAGGAGAACTTCTGTTATACTCCGGTCATGAAGAAGAAAATGCACCACATACACAAGGAGTTGCATTGATGCTGTCCAGAAAAGCACAAAATGCACTTATAGGATGGGAATCTCATAGACCAAGGATCATCAAAGCCTCCTTCAAAACAAAGAGAGAGGGCATTACAATGAACGTCATCTAATGCTATGCGCCTACCAACGACTACGATGAAGACACTAAAGACCAATTCTACGATAGGCTGCAGTCGATCGTCGAGAAGTGCCCAACCAAAGACCTGACCATTCTGATGGGAGATCTCAATGCTAAGGTTGGAATGGACAACACTGGATACGAAGACGTCATGGGACAACATGGACTAGGAGAAAGGAACGAAAATGGTGAGAGATTTGCAAACCTATGTGCCTTCAATAAACTGGTCATAGGTGGCACCATATTCCCACACAAAAACATACACAAACCCACTTGGATTTCACCGGATCACACTACACAGAATCAAATCGACCATATCTGCATCAACAAAAAGTTCAGGAGAACGATGGAGGATGTGAGAACCAGAAGAGGAGCTGATATAGCATCCGATCATCATTTGCTGGTCGCCAAGATGAAACTAAAACTCAAGAAGCACTGGACAACGGGGCGGACAACATTACAAAAGTTTAATACGGCCTTTCTTCGAGATGCTGACAAACTCAACAAATTCAACATAGCCCTCAGCAACAGGTTCCAGGCCTCTCATCATCTACTCAATGGGGAGGGAACTACCATGGAGAGCAAATGGAAAGGTATCAAGGAGGCAATCGTTTCAATATGTCAGGAGGTTCTGGGCCAAAAGAAGCACCATCACAAGGAGTGGATCACTGTTGGTACACTGGATAAGATTGAAGCAAGGAGGAACAAGAAGGCAGCAATCAATATCAGCCGAACAATAGCTGAAAAAGCCAAGGCACAAGCCGAATACACAGAGGCAAACAAGCAAGTGAAGAGGAGCATCAGAACCGACAAACGTAAACATGTGGAAGATTTAGCGATGACAACGGAAAAGGCTGCAAGAGAGGGAAACATGAGACAACTTTATGATACAACAAAGAAACTTGCTGGAAATTACCGTAAGCCAGAAAGACCAGTGAAAAGCACGGAAGGCAAAGTAATCACCGACATTGAAGAACAACGAAACAGGTGGGTAGAACACTTCAAAGAACTCTTGAATCGACCAGCTCCACTGAACCCACCCAACATCGAAGCAGCACCCACGGACCTCCCAATCGATGTTGGCCCACCAACAATTGAAGAGATCAGCATAGCCATTAGACAAATCAAGAGCGGCAAAGCAGCGGGACCAGACAACATCCCGGCAGAGGCACTGAAAGCAAATGTAGTAGCAACTGCCAAGATTCTACACATCTTCTTCAGTAAGATTTGGGACGAAGAACAAGTACCAACAGACTGGAAAAAAAACTTCTGATCAAGATACCAAAGAAATGCGATCTCAGCAAGTGCGACAACTACAGGGGAATCACTCTCCTCTCAATACCAGGGAAAGTCTTCAACAGGGTATTGTTAAACAGGATGAAGGATTTCGTGGACGCCCAACTTCGAGATCAACAAGCTGGAGTTCGTAAGGATCGATCGTGCACAGATCAAATCGCAACTCTACGTATCATTGTGGAACAATCGATCGAATGGAATTCATCACTCTACATCAACTTCATCGACTACGAGTAGGCATTTGATAGCGTGGACAGGACGACACTATGGAGGCTTCTTCGACACTACGGCGTGCCTGAGAAAATAGTCAATATCATACGGAACTCCTATGATGGACTAAACTGCCAAATCGTCCACGGAGGACAACTCACCGACTCGTTTCAAGTAAAGACTGGTGTTAGGCAAGGTTGCTAACTCTCACTGTTTCTCTTTCTCCTGGTGATCGACTGGATCATGAAGACGTCAATGACTGGAGGAAAGCACGGAATACAGTGGACAGGCAGGATGCAGCTTGACGATCTAGACTTTGCGGATGATCTGGCTCTTCTATCACAAACGCAACAACAAATGCAGGAGAAAACGACCAGTGCAGCAGCAGCCTCAGCAGCAGTAGGTCTCAATATAAACAAAGGGAAAAGCAAGACTCTCCGATACAACACAATATGCACCAATCAAATTACACTTGACAGAGAAGCTTTGGAGGATGTGGAAACATTTACATATCTGGGCAGCATCATTGATGAACACGGTGGATCTGATGCAGATGTGAGGGCGAGGATCGGCAAAGCAAGAGCAGCATACTTACAACTGAAAAACATCTGGAACTCAAAACAATTGTCAACCAACACCAAAGTTAGAATTTTCAATACAAATGTCAAGACAGTTCTATTGTATGGGGGGGAGACGTGGAGAACTACGAAAGCCATTATCCAGAAGATACAAGTGTTTATTAACAGTTGTCTACGCAAGATACTTCGGATCCGATGGCCAGACACTATCAGCAACAAGTTACTGTGGGAGACAAACCAGATTCCAGCGGAGGAAGAAATCATTAGGAAGCGCTGGAAGTGGATAGGGCACACTTTGAGGAAATCACCCGATTGCGTCACAAGACAAGCCCTCACATGGAATCCTGAAGGTCAAAGGAGAAGAGGAAGACCAAAGAACACATTACGCCGAGAAATAGAGACAGGCATGAGAAGAATGAACAAGAACTGGATAGAATTAGAAACGAAGGCCCAGGACAGAGTGGGTTGGAGAACGCTGGTCGGCGGCCTACGCTCCATTGGGAGTAACAGGCGAAAGTAAGTAAGTAATTGAATTTACTGAATGCCTGATTATAACTGATCCGTTCTTTTACTAATTAGCATTCCTTAAAGAATATACATCACTCAATTACACCAAATCAAAGCAAGAACCAAAGGGGGCAATATATTTTTCAATAAACTCAAACAACAAAAACATTAGAGCTTATGTATATAATTTCTATAAAAATATTCTAGCATTTTCTCGATTCATTCACTGAATAATTGAAAAATACATTAGTTAGTGCATATTGATATGAATCTGTCCATAATATTAAATAATTGGGACTTTATTCAGCAAACAATAATGGTAAAAGTCGATGTAAACCTTAAATACTAAAGTAGAGCTTGAATCTTTAGTCTGATGAATTAAAATCGATCATCTAAACCGATAATCTAAAATCACAAGTAAATCAAGGCACAGTTACAAAGTTAATCCAAGAGACAATTAAATATCTAAAAATTTCGATGAGCAATTTGTGAATTTTTTTATGGGTCACATAGAAGAATTTGTACGAAACTGTGCTATTGTATATTTTTTTTAAAACATGATTTTAATATGAGATCGAAAGCTATAAGATTGGTAACACGGTATTTTATTTTCTGTTTTAGAAATGACTATAAGTTTAACACTCTTATTCTAATTACTCAAATATTGATTAGAATCACGATTACTTTGGTCAGTGAAGAAGCGATTATTTAAACACATATATATTGGTACAAAAGGGCACCAGGTACATATGCGCCACACAAAATAATGAAAGTAGGAAGAGAAGGGATGAAAAGATAAGGCGGACTGAAATGTACAACCAGAAGACTCTTTCAGTTAAGAAAGTTAGAACCATTCTTTATGTAGAAAGTAAAAGAAGGTTGCAGCAGGATCGCCACTGGCTTCTATTCTGAGCCATATCTGATAACGTCTGTGAAATGAAATGATGTGAAGAAGCGAAAACAATAAGTAATAAGTGACAAAGGAAACCTAATGACCATATCAAAATAACTTTATCATTAAATATATTGATTTACAAAATATGAATTTAGAAGCTTGTAAAGTAAAAATAGATATCCTAAAGTTCAGGAACTGTCATAAATTGTTCGTTAAGGATAAAGTAACAAACCATGTAAAAATACTACAAATATCCGTTTAAAGACTTTCAGACGATACAATAAGTTAATTAGGTTCAGGAAAAATGGTTTTATTAGGTAAAGAGTGATCAAATGCGTAACCTCACAAGTGAATATATTCAGAAAACAATACTTAAGTTTTCTCATCCAAAAATAATTATCTACACTTCACTTCATAAAATGTAGGATTGTATCAAACGTGAATCATGTTGATTTGAAAGAATTTCCACGCTGAATAGGACAAATAGGACAAGATTATTATTACTGTTATTATTATTATTTGAACACACAAATATTGGTATAAGGGAGCACCAGATATATAAACGCCACACAAAAGGCACTAGACGTAGTTACATATAACGTTACTAGTAAAGTGTTCCAAGTGGAATATCAGTCAGGTAAACTAATAATTTTAGTAAATTGATGGGTTTTTATTGGGGTCAAACAAAACTGTATAGGTTAGTTCTCCTCGATTATTAACAAAGTTCTAGTGGTGAATTCAGACTGAATCTAGGTAGAATGTTGTTACATAATAAATTGGGATGGCAACTTATATTATTGTTTATAAAACAATATGTCTCCAAATGCCCTGGTACGGCCGAGAGTGGGAAGGACCTGCCCTCTCTTCCAAAACCCTCTCACACGGCCAGGCGTATACAGCCTCTACCAGAGAAGTCCTACTCACTGTCTTCTCGTGACATTACTGGTATTTACGAAGTTGAAAAGACGGAAAGCGAATGTCCGGCGCTTTAACCGGACCGGTGGACACGGAAAGTTCACCTAGGGGAGTTGGAAAACCCTGATTCCAAATCAATAGTGCACATGGGCTCCAGTACTCTAGGGGAACAAATGGCGTATGAACCAATTGTTGATCACTGGCTACCATGGAACTACATCTCCTTACGATGCTCCACTGCCTCGTGAATCAGACCTTTAGGTCAAAGGCACCGGGTGTGGCCCCCTAGGGAAACCACCTGCTTCGGTCTGGGCACCCGGGGAGAATCATAGCCCTCACACAACTAAATGAAATGAAATTTTTTTGTGTGGTGCATATATATCTGGTGCCCCTTTGTACCAATATTAGTGTTCAAATAAAAATAAATAAAATAAATAAACACAACAATATACCGTCTGATATATTTTCTTCTTAAAGGTGAAATAATATTTCAAACTATCAGCACGACTAAAAAACAACACTTCGAATGTCAGTAGCGAATGTGGTAACAGCTTTAATTTCCTCGACGCTCCAGAAAAATTCTTGGTTTTAAAGGTCTGACGAATAAAAAGTTTGTGTGTAATTTTTTCATAGGATCATGAACATGACATCACAATTTCGCGACTGTTTGGCCATCCCATAATATGTCAGTCAATTCGCAAACTTTGGTTAGTATTGTGCGATGGTGAATCATTGACTGATATCTTCCCCATCATTTTCATCAATTTTTTTACATTTACAAAAGACTTTATGTGTTTCAATAAGTTATCTCATTCGATTTTTCACAAACCACTATGATGAAATGAACAGATGAATATCTGTGCCAAATTTTAATTCATTAGAAGCAATTCAGAATTAAATATCAGTCTAAGGAATGCAACATTAACTGAACTATGAACTTACACCATTCACTCGAAAGAATATGTGCATAGAAAAATTAACTAATTTTCAGCTAAAATAATTATTATGCAGTTGAAACTATTCGATATATTAGAGAATAAACGACAAACTAATTCATAACAAATTATTTCGAAACTGATAGGGTAATTTTTAGGTATCAATGCCAAAGTTGAACTTGATAGTTATAAAAAAATTGAGTATTGAGTAGAAAGTTAATAATAAATTTTTTTAATAGTGGAGATCATGAGTCAATTCAAGCTAGACATCCATGGAACACCTGGAAGCACTGAACGACCGTTTTGTCCTATTGTGGGACTCCTCAGCAGTGCTCGTCCACGATCCCGCCTCGCGAGGTTCGAACCCAGGACCTACCAGTCTCGCACGCGAGCGCTTAACCTTTAAACCACTGAGCCGGCATCCAACGGTGTTAATGTCTGACTTCAACCAATCCATGAAATTGAGCGACACATCCACCATTGTCTTCAGTGAGCTACTATCTCACAATAGACCCGGTTGAACTTCACTGGTCACTGCTGCTACTATAATATCCACAAAAACCCCTTCTGATATTAATAAATATTTGTTAAATTCCTATGGGTAGAAAATTGTATTTCTGATGTTTCGTGACTTAATGTAAGCCATTTTTCAGAGTAAATAAATAACCGAATTAAATTAACACAAGTTTAAAGAGTACAAATGTAAAAATGCTGAATATTCGTACCACAATCAGAATTGCAGTAAGTTTGAACATTTCAAAGTCATGTTATTTTGGTCAAGATGATTATGTATGACATATCATTATATTTATTTGTGTCTAAGGTTTCTTCAGTAAGACAATAACAGTTCCATTTTCAAATACATAGACCAATAAAGATCTGCACTTTTCTTGATAATCAATAGATATATCTAAATCTAGCGAACATAACAGTACTTACGTTCCAAAACTGCGAAATCAATATGCATGATATTAGACCGACAGCAAGTATTAAATAGTTGGCTATCCTTTCAGGTGGTTGTAAACAACGCGAAAAAAATCCATTTGTTTTAGCTTCCAAAAGTTTTGCCAACGGAACATAGATCACTGGTCCCACATTTGCTACCTGACAATGTATAAACAAGAAAAATGTGAAATATCTGTACTTAAGGACAAACAAACGGTATAAAGATGTGGGCAAATAAACAGCTGCATTCTACTCCTCCATACGTCATTCATGAAACCACATTACTAGTAGCCCGCACGTTTTTGTACGGTTTAAACAGTTACGAAGTATGCTTCCTGGCAGCCGAATATTACATCTACTGTGCTATACTCACTTTGGTAATAATAATGTAAGTGTCTCACAAACATTCTTCATTATTTTAAAATTGTTTCTAGGGAAAATGCGAATGGTGTTCTCATCACAGAGTGATACTATGTCAACAAAGCTACCGAGACCAGGGAGTATTGGACAGTTGCTTCATTTTATTTGGGATATTTCAATAGAGTTTACTTATCGTTCTTCACAGGATATTATTCAGGATTTTGACACCCCGCAATTGGCGCATTGCTTCTGATTAACTGAATTTAAAACCAATCGTTCACATTTCCGAAAATTAAACTACTACTTTACTAAGCAATTGTGATAATGAAGCATCAGTCATCATATAAAAAATCTGGAAAAGAACAAAAGAATTTTATTTTCATCATAGGCTACAAATTTTTATATCGAGGGAAGCCATTCGGTTCTATGATTAGTTGAGATCAGGATTCGAATGAAGATTATGACATAAAGCATTGAGACAGTAGAAATATGAAAGAAAATCCATATAGTATGAAATCAGCTAAACTAAACTATTTGGATAAATCCAGGCTTTTCATATAGAGCACACCATAAATCTAAAATTGATAATTAGACACAATAAACTCTTTTTAAAAGTTTGCGTGAAGTATAATTCCCCATAAACGGAAGTAAGCCTATTATTGGATGTTTATTTTCATAAAGCAAGAAAAATCCCTGATACAGTAGTAACTGAAGGACTAATTTCAGTAACCAAACTTTATCTTAACTTTGTATACAGCCTTATTCTCATTTAAAGGCAGTACCGATTTTCCAATACAAGTCACAGGGAATCACACATGTGATAAATATCTATGCCCTTGACGGAATGGCTTTCTACAGTAATAAAACAACAAACATTCTATGAAGTCCCAGGGTCTCCATTGTAACTGATTTGCAAAATCCTTTGGGAAATTATAGAAGTTCTAAACAAACCACCTAACCGGTAATCACCTAAGATTTCGCGAAAATGTTAGCTTCAGGAAAAATAACTGGTGCCGTCAAAACCAGGACAAGAAAATATTCTGGCGCTTCACGAAGTATTGTTAGACTTAAAAACTCATTACGTGAAAATCAGACTTAAGCAATCATCAGAAGACGCTACTACTAGGATAAGGCACCAATCCGCAAATTCTCAAAGAGTCATAATTACGTAAGGCTGATAAAAACACCGGTGAAATACATTAAGTATGGTTGAAATTCTTACTACGTATATTAATGACTTTTTTTATCTTATTCGACTAGAGGTAATACGTCTGAAAGTAAATACTTATAACGTTGGACTGAAATTCTCCTTATTTTATTTTCTTATTATCAACTATGGAAGTTCACGAGGGCTTAACAAAACATTATAAATATTACGTAAGATAACCTGTGCAAGATATTAAGAAATATATTTATGGATGTAGAATATTTCATGTAGATTGTGATTTTTAAAAATTGCTGTAAGAAGCATAAAGATGAGTTGAAGCCTTCAGTAATATTGCAAGCCCTTATTTCGTTACTTTCAATTTAATTTTAGCATTTAACATGGATAAATCTAGCTATTATTCGCATATACATTGTCAACAATCTAAAGTACTTGTACAATGATTATCAGGTAAGCAGGCAAACTCCAACCTTCTGGTAGAACATTCACCAATAACGGTAGTTCAACCCATAATCCATTAACAACAATCCATGATCCTAAACCATATAAACTGACAAGACAAGCTGCAAGCCATGTGAACTTTATGTCATTTTCTGACGGAACCATGCTAAAATGTGAAAATAAGGTTATGTGCAAATATATCTAAGATAACCAAATAACATGAATATTATGAATAGAGATTAATTTTAGCTGTTAAACAAATAATCATTGGAAGAATAAATTATTACAAAATCAAGGCGATTTAAAAATAATTTGATATTCGAGTTTTTACAGTTTATGTATGCAACTATCATTCATTCAAAAAAAACATTACGAGTAATTGAGCAACCTCGATAATAATGACCCAAATTTAGAAAACGTTCCATCAAAGATAAAATTCTGATGCAGACTTGTACTAATTTAACTTAGGTTTTAATGTCCCAAATGCACCAATTTTTACGTTGCACTAAAAATGAATATCATAAAGCTTCAAGGTTTTTTATCATTTGAACTAACGTGATGGCAAATAATATCTAGAGCAATCCATGAAGCTTGTTATGATCCAGTTAATGCAAAGAGTTGTGGTTACTAAACTATTAGGAACAAAAAAAGCCACACCTGGAGCCTTTGACCTAAAGGTCTGATCCACAAGGCAGTGGAGCATCGTAAGGAGATGCAGTCCCATGGTAGCCGGTGACCAAGGATTGATTCATACGCCATTTGTTCCCTCAGGGTACTGGAGCCCATGGACACAACATAAAACCTATTAAAGCTTAGGATTCGGCATAATGTATAGAAGCTTTCAAACTTTGTGTATCGCCACTTACTAAGTATATCATAAGCAATATGGATCAGAAATTAGTAATAAAATTTATGCATATGAAGTCATTTTCTTGGATTCCATCCTTCTTAAAGTATTTATTTATCGACGGCACACTAATGCACATCTGTCATGATCACATAAGATAAGAATAAAATTTATTTTTGTGTAATTTCAGTATTTTTGCTCTGATTACCGTTCCTAGTATCCGCCCTTTACTTAAAATTTCGAATTGTTCACAAAGTTTTTGATCTTTCATCAGACTTGCTATCTATAAGACAAGACTTATCCATACATACAATTTTTAATACGCTTCTATGAATATAAAAATATTGGAATGACTTGCGTTATTACTATTAACACCATTATCACCCAATAATTCATATCCATGTACTATAGTTCCACTGCTTGCAATAGACCTAAGCGTTTTAAATCAATACTTTGTTAATATAAAGCCTGATGGAAGGTGATAGGAGATGCCGACTAGCTCAAAATGTGTTTCCCAGTCATAAGAATGGAATTATCTAAATACTAGCAGCTTAAATAAAAGATTTAGAAGCTAAGTTACGATAAAATTTAGCGTCTTGATATGCAAATGATTCAACGCTTAGACGGATATCCTTATATGGAAATATAGTGAAATAATCTTATAAGCATTCATATACAAAACTAGAGTCTCAATGCAAACGTTTTCGATAAAAGTACAAACTTAACGCAAACAAGGGGTAGTTGATCTCAAAACGAATTAGTAAATATTACTTTGATTTTAAAAAAAAGCAGTTTCTCTTATAACCCATTTTTACCGTATTATGATCATCCTTACGTGTTTGTATATACTCTTGAAATAACTATACAGAGACAGTCCATGTAAATAATGAGTCAAATATTGAACTTAAGTTTAATTGAAATCACTGCCTTCTCATGGAGAGGGTGTTGTTTATGAAGTTGAAAGGACGAAAAGCGAATGTCCGGCGCTTTAACAGGGCCGGCGGACACGGAAAGTCTACCTAGGGGAATTGGAAAACCCTGATTCCAAGCCAACAGTGCACATGGGCTCCGGTATCCTGAGTGTTATTTTCCATTTTATGGTACGATGTGGTCTGTTTGATTGGTATATAAACTCAGTATGTTTGAAATATAACCATTCATACCGCAGAGGCTGTTCTGGACTTAACTGGCTGGGCTAGACAGAAGCAGGACCGACAAGTACTCTAGACTGCTACTACGCTTTTGGTGTATCACTGGCCCTCTTTGTGGGACTTGGTAATTAACCATGAAGTGGAGGACATTACCTATCTAGATATCCTCCCACCAATAGTTCATTGTGGTTACACTGTTTTGTCACTCACGTTTAGAATCTGTGATATGGTCAGGTTTAAACTCGCCCAATTGTATGGGGAGTTAATATGTCGGCTATTAAGAACTATGCTGAGGCAACTGGCTGGTCGGTTAACACTAGCTTTTCAATTGAAGGAGCTCCGTTACGTCTCCATGTATACCATTGCTAAAACCATGTAGACCCAACGACTACCCATCATGGATAACAAAAGTGGTCAAGGAACTTCCTAGTTATGGTAAGAAACATTCAAACATGTTACCTCTCTACAGGGACTGAACAGTTTGGATCCACTAATTGTAAAATTACGAGGGAATCAAAAACGCTCATACGTACAGTTAGATTATCCTGTGAGAACCACTGATCCGAGAATCGGAAAATAGTCTCAAAAAGCTGTTCCCCTATACTGAAAGATGAGCTTAGAGAAGTGATGGAATTCCTTCATTTCTGATCTACCAAAACTCACTAGAAAGAGGTCAGACTGGAATTAAAAATAGAAATATCCCAGCAGATTTGACTTGGATAGTTCTAAGTAAAGTCTTCGATAAGGTTTCTCGGCGAGACTAAAGAACATCATGTTTTCTCTAAAATCCGTTGTAAACCGATTGTACGTAAGCATCAGGTACCGAACTTAGCGCCGTGACCTTGAAAACCCACGAAAGCTTCTGATTGGCTCGTCCATGTTCTTTAGTCTCGCCGGTTTCTCACCTACGTTTTAGATTAAAACATATATATATATATATATTGCAATGAGTGAGAATAACAGGTATTCTGTCGCCATGTGGTCTTGAGGAATGGAGTCTCGCGAAGAAAAATCCAGTCTTTTTCTTCTTCAATTTGACGTGATGAAACAAGTGTAGCAGTCATATACTCTATTGCTTATGGGTGACGTATACACAGTCAGCTCGACTTGTAAGATACAATTACAATAAGATACGAATATAGTGGTTGCGTGAAAAAACCAGAAGTGATTAGAAATCAATTATAGTGAGAGTGTAGTAATAAAATCAATGTGACGATTTACATATTTGAGAAACAAACTGGATGTCATTACCCAAAGTTACTAGTCGTAAAAATTTAGGTGTCATAATATGAGACAGTTTTAGAAATATGGGTAACAATAGTAGTTGCCAAAGGCTCCTCTACATAATGGATAACTTGTGATTCAGATGGAATGATGTTTGCGATATTATACCCAACACTTGTGAGGTTATATTTGGAATATGATGTCCAAGCAGCAGTTCTTTCGCTTGAATACGAAACAGCTAAGCTTGGAAAAATTTAAAAAGGACGGACAAAGATGGTGAAAGGTCTTCTTGACCCATCTTACGAAGATAGACCTATTTCTGCTATATTACTGTAAGATCATCTACGTTGATGATCTATGTCAAATGATTGGGGCCTATTATAGTTAGACGAGAATGGTGACGAACCAACTAACGCTGAAGTCACACCTCTCGACCGGCCCTTACGTGGTTTGAACTATCGACGCACCAAAGGATCATGGACGCTATGGAGACTGCACAACACAAAGGACGTTATTAGAAGAATATATTAGTTAAGGTACAACTACGATAGTACAAAAGTGGAAGAGCAACCACTGCCGCGTGGGCCAGTCCATGGCGTGTCATTGACTGATGCGCGTTGACTATCATTGACCTTGACAGGGATCAATGATCTGTTCGATATTTAGTGACCCTACAATACTCCCCCACCAGATTCAACGGCCGTTTGAATCGATACCAAACATGTTGGGAGTAGTCGTGCGCCGGAGGTTGCCAGACGATTAATATGAATCCTCCGGGTATTGCCGAGCTGTAAGAGAAACGGAAAGGAGGCTGCAGAAACTGATCGGGAAACAATAACACGAAATAATAACACGTAACAAGGACGTTGGTTGAATGTTAAGCGGTCAACCATAGAAATAATAGAAAAAGAGACGTGACATTTTAGAGTTTTAACAAGTCACGTTGAAAAAGATAGCTCTGACAAGTGGTTCAGTTCCTCAGATGAGAAAAGTTAAGTTTGCCACAAGAGTAGTGACGTCGCAGTGATAGTACGATAAGTGTATTATCATTCGATGCCGATGTTTGTACTGCCCTCGGTTCAGAATATAAAGTCAGTAAGTGTCGTTGACATCTGTTCGTAAGCGTCGATTTCTAGTTATATCTATATTTAACAGACTAACTGTAAGTACAGAAGTATAACCGTGAAGGTAATTCGTGGTTTCCTTGTGTGAAGCGAAAGGTGGCACGATGAAATCTCTGAAAGATGATTGTGGGGAGTAGTGTAACGTCGTGTACTATATTACACCTACATAGCTTATTCTAGTTTCTGAACAAGCCAATTCACCTATAACGTTATGAGTCATATTTTGATATTGTTAATTATTCCCTTATTGACCTTGACTATTTTTTATATGAGCGTATGTGTATGCACACTTCTTATCCTACCTATCACATGTCTGTCATTCATTTTAGTCTGACTATAAATGTTGATTAATGCTTGCTTATAACGAGTTGGCTTACCAGCCATCTCCCATGTATGTTACTTTTTCTTCGCTCGCTAACATTTACTCATGTGCTTACTGCCTTCTAGCCTATGTTATTTGTCAATAAAAATGTAGTTGCCACTTCCCTTTGTCTCCTGATATTATACACCGTTCAGATTGATATAATAACGGTTATCGAGACGATCGATTAACGAAGCACTACACTACATGATAAACGGTGGGTGCTGCACATATGTTTGATGAGTGAACCGAAAAATGTCGAAAAGAACATAAGAAACCAAGAGTGTCACTCTGGACTCATGTCAATGATATCGGTGAAAAATGCTGTCAGTGTTGGGGTCGAGACGACAACATCGTTGTCAGTTTGCAGGAGATGCGCTCGACTGCGTAAACCGATGATTCGCGTGAGTGAGTGTCGTCAAACCACCAATTGAACTGGACAGGCTTTAGATCGTCGAGTAGTTGAACAGCCGATTGATGTACCGAAATCATCTGTTAGATAACAGCCACTCGGAAACAATACTTCATAAGATAAAAATACGACGTCGAATTTGAATAACTACAATATTTCGAATGTGTTGTAATGTCACATCGAAGTAACATCATTTCGTATACTGACAATTGTACTGAACGTTCGTTTGGGCATTCTTTATGTAGCAATTGGATGTGCAGTAGCAAACATGTACGAAGACTATCGTGGGGTTCGTGGGGAATTTCAGAGGACATTTAGATATTTTCCAAACCCGTATTGCATGTGAATAAGCCGAAGACGGAATTAAAATGACTTTCGTGCAATAAGGAGATCGAGCCATGATTTACTGTGTGAGATAACAGAAAATACAGAGCGCATAGTAAACATTAATTTAAATGGTATTCACCAATGTAACTAAAGTTTAGGTTTAGATAACGTGATCGTTTCGTAAAAAGCATATTATCTAGCGCTAAGTGACATCAAGTACGACGAAGTGTCTCATTAAGACATGGACTAAGATTGCTCGTGTATATGAAATACGTTTTTCGGAGTATGTTGACTTACGAGTAATAAATGTACATAGGTTCGACTAAAATTTGACTGCAGTGACAGAATGTATGTCTACTCTAAGTGAAGGTAGCCGCAAAATGTTATTAGACATCATAAACATTATACGAAATTATTTAACACAGTTATGAAACTCGCCTGGGTTACTCTTGCTTCAAAGTAATTGAAATATGCTGATTAAATTCTTAGATTAACGAAGCGTTGTAGATTAAATTGGTATTCGTCCAAATTTAATTTGAGCCAAACACGTAGCATTGCTTCGCGAAACAGTCTAAAGAAGATCTAACATTGCAGGAAATTTATAGCCCAAATTCACTGTAAATTTCTAGCATTTGTATCCTCTGATCCGTCATGGAACTCAGCAATTGGAAGTTAGGCAGGCAGTGGTCAAGAAAGTAAAATATTCTAGTAGATAGTTTCTGATAGTAGTTAGTTGATAGTGATTAAACAGAAAGATGAGTTTATAAACGACAGTTAATCGTGTATTGCTTATTCAAGTGGATAAGTTGCAAACTGATATGCGTTCGTGTTGCCTTGAGGCTATACTTACGAGTGGTTGATATTTTAGCAGAAATATTACACAGGAGCATTTACATGCTGCTAATGCTTGTTAAAGAACCACGATAGTCGATTATAGTCGTAGTTGATTAGTTAGTTCTATCGATTGAACTAATTATTTCAGTTGAAATACTAATCAACACTGATATGAAGCTTTCGTGCCTATAGGTAACCCTCGTGCTATTGATAGAAGAAACCAGAGAAGTAGTGAATAGGTCTTTATTTCGATCTTCGCGCAGTCACAGTGGAGCGTGGGATTATCTGTTCAGACAAACAAAGGCTCTCAACATTCCATATAAGATAATAGGGAATATAACGCTTGCAAAAGGTAAGGAAGTGAATGAATACTTGAACAATACTGTTCTAGCATATGCTTGGTTGTTTGGGGTCAACTCTTAACCAACCAACCTGAGCTGTTACAAAGCAACGAATGTTCACAGAAACTGATAAAGATAGCCGAAGTTAAAAATGAAAAATAATAATAAAAATAATGATCTGTTCGATATCCAGTGACCCTACAATACCATAGGTTAAGAGGTAATCTGATAGCGGTTTACCATATATTGGATAGTGGTATTTGCATTAGTATCTCCTAAATATTTCACGCTTCTACCTAGGATTGATTATAACAGGAGATTCCTAGAAATTTCAAAAGCCATGATCAAATCATACACGTCTCGAGTTCCCGCCCAGGACACCTTTTGTTGGTACATTCTGTCTTCAGTAATAAGGATTATAGGTTGATGAACCTGTGTTAAACCCTACAGTTTGCCTTCCACTGAAGGTCCAGCTTCTCCTTGAAAATGTTCACTGATGGAGCTGATACCACTTATTCGGGTAAGGTGTTCCAGTCATTGACCACTCGATGATAAAAACGGAGCCCCACCTTCAGTGTATTAGATCGAGGTTTCTGAACCTTTATGGTATGGCCTCGGAGATTATCAGTGCTGGATAGAGCAAAAAGATAAGACATATTAGCACCCAAATCATAATTAAAGATACGAAATGCCAGTATAAGGTCACCTCGCGTCCTACGACGAGACATGGGGAAGAGGTTTAAGCTTTTTAAACGCTAATCGTAAGGGAGTTTAGATCATTCTTCCACTTGATTCGATCCTCAAGCGGTCGATCTGGTCGAATACGAATATTTGACTCACGAGTTTCGTGTGCGTTGTTCGATATTACGTCTCGTTACTCAAAATCCCCGAGTACTAACTTCAAGACCCTCCTTTGTTGGGTCTCGTCTTCAACTCATTTACCGGGTCTTCTTACTTTCGTGATATGTAACCCTGAAACCTCTTCAGGCAGCACATTTCAGACGACATATTCCACTAACTGCAGATCGTGTGCGTGTCTTTTAGCAGGCTCATTACCTGCCTTGTTACAAATAACCAAATTAGTATTGCTAAACATTCACCCAGGTAGTGAGCAACAAATACGTCAAGCTGCTAATAAACTGGAATAAACGCGGTAGGATTAAACTATACTGCCGGGTTTTCAGGGTCATGGCGCTAAGTTCGGTACCTGATGCTTACGTACGGTTGGT